CGTGCGTGGGGTTCGAATTAAAGACACATGACGCGGGCTCTCATCATGAGACCAGATTGCGCATGAGAAATCAATATTTGGGCCTCTGACAAATATCAATTTCCTTTTAATATATATACCTATTTACACGTCCAAAACACACAGAATATATATATATATATATATATATATATATTATATATATAATCTGTATGTGTTGGATATATAAATAGGTAGGAATTAAGTGGTATGTATGTAAATCTTTAAGTTAGTGGGTTAATAAAAGAAAAGATGAAACCCGGTGGAATCTTGGCAGCAAGCCAACAAACAACACTCTATGGCCATATATACGACGAAGCTGGAGGCAACGGCGAAAAATTCGGTATTACGAGTGGGGAAGTCCATCGGTGGAGATGGAGAAGCTTTTCTCCCTATTTTCAACCTCCGCCGGCAGCGCCGGCGGAAGTTCGTCGGCGCCGGCGGCGACGGTGTCCGACATCTTTGTATATCCGATCAAATCTTGTCGAGGAATCTCCGTTCCTGAGGCTCCCATCACCTCCACTGGTAATTTCTTCAGTTTCGTTGTGAAAGAAATACTTTCAGCTTCTTGTTCTTAGTTTTTTTTCCTCAATTCATGCATCACTCTGTGATATTTCTTGTTAGCATTCGTATGTTAAAAGCTTATAGGTTTTGCCGAACTTTTTTTTTGCTGCATTTGCTGTAAAGGGTTTGTGAAGTTGCCTCAATTTCTGCATAAAGCTGATTTAAGTAAGGCATGTTCTTTAAAATTTTAGAAAATTTTATATATAATGAATGTTTATTAATATATTATGCTTTTTAATGTTCTTAATTACTCAAAGTTTTTAATCAGTGCCCTAAAGGTTAGTTAATTTGTTTGTTCAAAATGAGAAAAATGTATTCTCCTATTTAAATAAAAGGGTGATTTACATACATAGCACACTTTTTTTATATTTATATTTTTGACATCCAAACTTTGATATTCATTTATATGTTAGATGACCCAGCCCCAGAGTTTGAATTTATCCAAGACAGAAACAAACGGTCAAATGACAATTATATTTATATAACAATTTGACAATAGTAACAATTCACAATAATTTTCAACTATAAAAGAGTCATAATCCATAAGACAATAATAATATCATTTAACAAAACACATAATCTCATCCAACTTGAAACAATAATAAAAATAAAAGTGACTAAACATAAAAATCAAACAGTTTGCTACCTATTTTCAATAATTTATCTCCTATAACAACAACAAAAACAACAACAAGCCTTTATTCCACTAAGTGGGGTCGACTACATTAATCCTTTTCCTCCATTGTGTCCTATTGAGCGTCATATTTTTCATTTAATTCTAATAAATTAAGATAGTTTTTTATAAAATATGCCCAAGTCTTTTTAGGTCTACCTCTGCCTTTCTTAACATAAGTCGAATCTAAAATATCTACTCTCTAATTTATCTCATTTTGCAAACAAATTTTTTCTTTCAAACTTATCAATCTAACAAAATTTTGAAATAATGTGACTAAAAATAGAAATCAAATAGTCTGCCGCCTATTTTCAATAATTTATCTACTCTTATAAACAAACTATTTTCTATCAGTTATATTAATCTAATAGAGTATGAATAGTAAGAGAGAGTTTGTTTATATGAGTAAATAAATTATTGAAAATAGATAATAAATTTTTTTATTATGTATTTTATTATATGATATTGTTCATGTCTTGTGGATTAGTGAATCTTTTATAGTTGAATATTACTGTGGCTTTTGTTACTATTAATAATATTATTATTTTTTTATTTTCACCATTCAATTGTCCGTTCCCTCCTTGATTACCTTCAAGCTTTTGGTCTGAGTTATGACACTTGATTTAATGATTTAGTGTATAGTAAAACTATAATTAATTACGATGACTTCTTAAAGAAAAAGAAAATGAAAAATATAATTGATTAAGATGGTTTAATGAATATTTTTATAAAAATGAAAATATAAAGCTTATGTTATAGATTAATTAGCATGTTTTTTTGAGCATTTATATTTAAGCATTTACATTATGATTTATTGCATAATAAAATTATAATTATTTATCACATTGTTGTAAACTTAATATGTCAATCAACCACTCTTTCAAAAAAATCTCTATTAGATTGATATGTTTGATAGGGAGAGAATTTGTTTATAGGAGGAGAGAAATTATTGAAAACATGTAACAGACTGTCTAGTTTCTATATTTAATCATTTTTATTTTTATTATTATTTAAATTGGGGTGATCTTATATATGTATCTTGCAAGAAAATGTTTGTTATGTTTTGTGAATTAGTGACTCTTTTATAGTTGAATATTATTATTAATTATTGTTATTGTTAGTATTATTAGTATTATTTATTTTTATCATCATATCATCTTTTTCCGCCTTGTTAACTGTTATTTATGTCTTGTGAATTAGTGACTTTTTTATAGTTAAATATTTTTATGGATTGTTGTTATTGCTGAATTACTATATAACTACCATCTTTATTTTTCACTTTTGTTAATTTCAAGATCTTGGGATATATCGACATTATAAAACACTAAAATCTTTAATTTATATAAAAATATCATTAATAATAACTTTTTAATATAAAATACATATTTTTATGCATATGTTTTGATGTGTTTGTGACATTAAAGTGTTTTATAAGTAAATATCAAAATTTAGATATTAGATATATACACATAAAAATTATGTGTTACGTCTTTATAACTCATGAAACACTTTTGATGAATGTGGCAGAGCTTTCAATTTTATTTTGAAATCAGCTAGTACATGTGAAATTAACCACGAACTTAATTATTGGTGATGACTTGACTCATGAGATTCTTATTCCATGTTTGAATTCACTTTTTAGAACAAGTGGAGTGAGAAAAACATGTTCGATAACAATGTTACCAATTTTTTTAATTTTGAAAAAAATTGGCCTATTTTTTGAAATCTTAAAAATACTTATAAATATGTTCACTTGTTTTGAAATATATCTTGATATGTAATTAGAAAATCATCTAAGCAAATATTAATTTTTAATGCAAATTTTGAATTATAAAGTTTAAAAATTAGTAAGATTATCAGACCTTTGTTTAACAAATTTATAGTCAAATTGAATGCCTTGACAAGTTGAATCTAACAATACTAAAAGTGATTCAATCATAGCCCAAATAAATCCAAATCAAGCACTCGAAGTGTGGTTGAAATGTTTGGGACATATTTTTTTATTTTATTTTTAACCTTGGGACATTAATTAAAAGTCAAACAATCCCCAAATCTTGCATAATTATAGCCAAATTGAAATTTTGACAAGAGGAATGCAATGAAGTCAACATCCCTCAATTTTGAGATTAAAAGACACTCCAATATTGAATGAAGCTAAGAAAAAATGGAATTAAAGTCTGCCATCTAATAGAGTGTTTTAAGAATTTGGCCAAAATAATTAAACTATCATTCAAAAAAATTATACATAGGGCCACATTCTCTATATAAAATATCTGAATACTAGAAATTAGAAAGAGCTTAGAGATTGCAAGAACTTCAAATCTTTGTTGATGTCTAACATTGACTATCACGACTAGCAATTATCATCACTCAACCATCCTAGCCCGACTGTTATCATCCGACCACTATCGTTCGAATGTCATCGTCTGACCACTATTTTTTTATCATTATTTTTCTCCTATTGATGTTTGACTGTCATCATCTGGTCATCATCACTTCTCGTCATTATCATTTGATCATCATCACTCAACTTATATCATCTTCAACTGGCTATCACCCAATCGTTGTCATCTGACCATCTTCAGTCAATTTGTATCATCAGATTTTCCTTCAACTACTATAGGTTTTACTACTTCTATAGGTAACGCAATTTGAGTGCATTACTTTGAAATCCCGTCTTCTTTAGCTTAGGGGAATGACAAATTTTTATAATTTTACTTCTATATTGGATCTTTTAATTTGGGATAAGCTTGTGATTTCTTTGTTCCGAGATTGCCATGTAAAGAATTATAGCATATCTTTCGTTCCTCCTTTTTTAATTTGTATGTGTGGAGCACCTTAGTAAAAAATAATGTAAAATTTTTATGTAACAGCCAAAATTTTTTTAGCTCACAATATACCTGATTTACTTATGGGATAAAAAGACAAATTATATATTAATTATGTTAATTCAGTGTTGCTACTAATTAATATTGATTAATTAGTTTTATAGTTATCATCACTAAAATTTTATAGATATTTAATAATTTAATATTTAGGCATGGGGTAATTATCTAATTTAATATTTAATTAAAATAATATTTAAAATGTTTTTTAAAAATGATTAATTTTATAAATTATGGTTATGAACTTTCATTACAAATTAATCATAATAATTGGTCCTTGCATAATTATTTAATTGATTAAATATTTAGAATAAATGATAATATATATTTTTAGTTAGAGTAATTAGGGACTAATCCAATTTTAGTTAATTTCATTAGAATTTCATTAGGATTTAGTTATAATAATTTAGGATTAGATAATTAGTTTTAATGATAAATTATAATTATGGAATCATTTAAGCTAATTAGGCATGATTTTATTTTTTTATTCATTTATTTATATTTAACATATTATAGTTAAAATAAGAACTGTTAATTAATTCAGAATTAACCTAAGCAATTGTTCTAGCTAATTATGTATATGAGAAGTAATACGCACCAAGTGCTGCGAAGCACGGGCGGCTCACGCAAGTATATGTGGTGTATCAGTAGTACTGGGGTTTGAGTCTGGTTGTTTATCCCACATGGAACGAGGTGAATTCTAAGGAAAAGTTTTGGTCTACAATTTTCAGTCTAAGTCTGAAGAGTTTAATTTGCAAGTTCAATTTTAAACCTATTCAAAAGCTATTAAAAACTAGTCTTTTTTAACAAAACAAAAGATTCTTTTATAAATTAGAGGTTGAGAAGTTCCCTCTTTAATTGATCAAGTGATGGATATGACTAAGGATTAGATTTAAAAATCAGTGTCAATCAGGTGAAAAATTTTTCTTTATACTCTTCCGACGATCTAAGGAAGAATAACAATCTTAGGTTTAGTTCCCAAATACTCTTGAACTGCTCATAAGAAAATGTCTCCTAGAAGATTGCATGAATCCAATGACAATATCCCCATTCCAATGAATTTATGTTATTAACTCTTTTGTTCCATAAAGAATCCTTTTGAACATCAACATTCACAAAAGATTTTAACAATCAACTGGTCATGCAGAAAGTAAATTAAGTTATCAAGTTAACAAAACACTTCTAAACTTAAATTAAAGCCCAAACAATCTCAAATCCCTTGTCATATCCAATCACCATCTCAATTAAAGAGAGAAACAAGATGACTACTCACTATTCATGACAAAATTATCAAAGCAAACTTAGTTTTATGCATAAACTTCAAAAACCAAAGTCTTTACATAGAAAATCTGAAGAAAATACAATGTAAACACACTTATCTCCTTCACAAGTAAGTAGTTTGA